TCAGAAAAGTTAACTTTTGCCTTTCTGAACACGCGGGTAACGAGTTTTTCCACGAGAACCCTGACAGACATTTTGTTTTTTTCTGCCTGTGCTCTTGAACCCTGCAGAGGTTCAGACTCACAAACTGAGGCAGACGCTGCAGCAGCTGCCTCACAAACTGAGACTGACGCAGATGCTGCAGCAGCTGCCAAAGGTGCTGTCTCCTCTTGGAGCTGTAATGATGCCAATGGCTCAGTGTCCATCAAAGCGAGCGTCACCCTGCGACTGTGGCCGGTAGCCTGAGTCTTCAGCCACCAGCTAATCAGTGCTTGGAAACAAACCACTCTGCTCTGTATGTCAAGATACATGTTGGGATGGGACTGAGGTGGTCTTGGAATTACCTCTGTTATGTGAGAGTGGAGCAAATCACTAAGTTCTGTTGTGAATACTTGGGTATTATCAGATGAAAGGTCGATGAATCTCTGCAACGCCTGATCTTCATTTCCACTTGGTTGGTTTTCTCCATCTTCTGTCAGAAGCAGAGAGTCAACACTAGCCATGAGTGACTGGATTGACTCTCTGCTTTTAATTTTGGTGTCCCGGTGGAATTTAGTCTTTAATTGTGCGACTATCCGGTGAAAGGATGCGCTGATAAATCTCTTGGCAAAAAAGGTCTTTAGCTTTGCCTTCACTCCTTTCAAAGGAGTTTTGTGGCTCTTCTTGTATTTGGGGCTTGAACTTGAACATTTTGTTTCTTTCAGACTCTCTGTTTCTTCAGTAATTGACTGAACGATGAATTCTGCCAAACTTTGAATCTCCAGAGAAGATCCAGATTGAAGCAGCTCAAAGTCAGAGTGTGGGACTTCAACCATAAGAGGTTCTACAAGTGCACTGACCTCCTTGCTAATTAGTGTATGTACGGAGGTGGTCTGGCTTTCTTCACATGGTGGGGATTGTCGAATTCTCATTGTGGCTGCAAAAGCCTTCAACATTTTGCAGGCATGACCAACCATCCTGTTAAGCATGTGGGGTGGAGTGACATGTTGTAGTACAGGCTTCTCAGAGCACATGTCAGCGAGGAGGACAGAGTTGACACTTTCTGAAACTTCTTTCCCAATCAAGACTGACAGTCGTTCAGAGCCAATATTCTTGTCTTGCTCTTCGGTGTTCAGCACATCTGCAAAACATTGAGCGAGTGTACTGCCCAGACTGGACTGAATAGCCACGTCAGATGGTAATAAATTTTGTTTCTGAAGGGCTGTCAACACTGCTTTTGTTGCAAATGACATTATGTTCAGAAGCAGGTCTGCCAAAATAACCTTGATGGTAACATCAGGGGTACCGGCTTTTAATAATGCCCACTGTTCATGCGTCATCCTTGTCAGACAGGATACAACAAATGGGCGAACAGTTTCGGATGTAATCTCCGGCATCTCCACTCTGTCTGGTGATTCTCTTGAATCCATAGCAACGTTTTGTGTTTTATACACTTCTTGATTTAGTTTTCACGTACGGGTCTGTCAGTGGAAAACTAGCAGCAATGAAAACTGAATGTGTTGGAGGGACAGTCGTAAATATTCCTGTCAGAAATATTTGCAGAGCTGGTTATTCAGTACAAATATTATGTGAATATAAAGTAAACGAGGAGCTAAATATCAAATATCAGCATAATGTCATTCACTGTGCTAAAGTGACATAAATGTGATTAAACTCATTGTTACTTATATACTCAGTATATGTCTTTAATACATCATTAACTACGTCATTCCAACTTCAAAGGCATTCCATGTGACGTGTCCGATCAAAGGATTGACTTTTCGTTAAGCCCTGCCCCCTACAGCGACTGTAACCTAGCAACCGTTGTAAGCACCTGCGCCGTGCCTCAAAACGATACTACCCCGCCGTTGACATCACGCTGCTCCCCCACATAAAAAAAAGTGTTCGTTGCCTTGCCCCCGCAGGTTTAAGCACGGCACAGCTACGCTAACTAGCTGCTAGTCCGCTTAATAGGTTTTAAAACACGCACATTTACCGACGGAAGCCTCTCCTGCAGTCTGCAGACAGACCCGTCTTGTGTGCATTGGCACATTTGTCGCTTTCATATATGGGCCAGAAGGAAACATGACGTCAGGTGGAGAAAGCGTTTTTAAACCAACCAGCTACAGCTGATAAAATATGCATCAACAGTTATCATTTCAGCCGCAAAACTCAACCAAAGATTAGACGCTTGCTTTTTGCTTCTTGTCTGAAAAGAGTCATTGTTAAATAAACTCACGAATAAGATGGCCGAGCTATCATTGAAAGTGAATTAAAAACTTTAGAAAAAAATAAAAATAAATTCTTTAAGGAACAGCGTCATAGGATAAACAATATGTACTGTAATCTTATCGTGTAGTATTTTATTTGGGTCTACTCCTGATCACTCTGTTCTCACCTGCACTCATATATCCCTGGAAATGTCCTCCATTCAAAGAAGAAAATACAAAACAAAGAGTTTTAATGTTTCTGATCATAAACTGAAGACGTAAAACATTAAATGCACATCTTATTTTGTAGATTATGGCAGTCAATGACGTAACTTATTTCCCCCAGTGGCTCAGTCATTTCAGATACATAACTTCAGTAGCCTGAGCAATGAAAGCAAGCCTTTGACTTTTTTACACTTTAGCAATTAAGCAGTTGTATGTTTTTCTGCCATATTAGTTTCATTTTATTATCATTTGCACTCACTAGCTCTTAAAGCGGGGGATTCAATTAAAGAGTATTGCAATTGCTGCATCCTACATTTTTATTTTTAACTCATCACATTTTGCCAGAAGTAAAAGCTGAAATAAAGCATGCATAGATAAATAAATTCTCAAAAAACTTTTTTGGTGTATGATTTAAAAAAAAAAAAAAAGAGGTATCATGACATTTCAGACATGTTCTGTCTATGCCGTACAGTTATGATATTCATAAAATGTGGCTGAGAAAATATGGCAGGACAGCTGTACAGGAGAACTGTCTTTTATGGAAGAGGTGGGACAGTTTGGGGATGCTTTTGCTGGCCACTTCCATCATACGTGGACTTAGACACTGGGTAAGAATCCAGCCTATAGCTTTACAACTCTCCCACTGTGCCCAGCTGTTTTCATTGAGGCAATTTAACAGGATAACACATCTGATACACTAATTACACATTAATGCACTAATTAATGCACAATGAAAGATCAATGATGTGAGCTCATTACAACAAATAATCAAATCTGCCTAACAGTTTTTATGCCATAGATGTAAAGTTGAACATTTGTGAGTGCCTCAGTTTTAGACATTGTTAAATAGTGTTGAAGAAACTGTACACAAAGGCCAATATAATACATCTTAAATTAGTCTTTGTGCTAATGAGGTGGGACTTTTATCATGTGCAGAGAGGTTATTGATTCGGGGTTAGGGTTAGGGTTTGGGGTTACTTTGTGTTTGTGTTTGTGTTATGGTGACTGGTCATGAACATGACTGCTCTGAACTGGGAAGGGAGGTGCCTTGTGGGGGTCTGTCAGTACACTGCTGTGCTGTGCCGTTTTTGTGGCTTTAAGTGCCAAAGAAGCATGTTCATTGGATGAAAGTCCATAGGTTACTCCATACTGCATTGAGGTACAGTGAAAACCACAATGAGTGACCTACATGAGTAAGAACAGTGGGGTCATGGGAATCCATCGGTGAAACTTGATCCATAAAAGACCACAAAAGATCTTAAAGGAATAGATTATTATATTAATATTATACTAGGTAATTTGTAGATCAGTGTAGTATATGTAGTTTAAAAGCACAAAAACAAAGCCTTTTATTTAACCAATTACTTGGTTTTTTGACCCTGTAGAATGATCCTGTTGCACTGGCCATTCACTTATATTGTTCAGAATAACCAGCTGTAATCTTTAATATTTATCCATCTTATACATTTTTTCTACATTTTTTTCCACTATCGTTTTTCAGTTAAGGTAAAGTCAAATTTTGGAAAACGGATTGTAATACATGCATATCAAATTTGAGTACAGACCCTGGACAGAAAGGCGCCTACTTCAAATATTAACGTTTGCATCTTAGCCGTCCAATCAGCGCATATCACTCGGCTCCGCCTCCTCGAGCTCCGGGACAGTTGTTTGAACTACACTACAGTGAGCAGAGCTCTACTCCAAAACGGCGTCGGATGGGGGGAGTTTTCTGTTTTCGGCTACCAAGGAAAGGTGGAATAAAGTTTAACAAGCTAAACATTTTTACGACTGGAATTATTTAAAGTATCAGGGTGTTCGTGTTTTCAATTGCTACTAGCTAACGTTGCCAGTTTAGCTGTGTCCAGATACGTTACCTTTAGGCTAACGTTAGCTCTAAGGTAACTTATAGCTGGTTCCGTCGGTTGGTTGTTTGGTTCATAGACTAACGTTATCGGCCGGTCGGTGGACAATATTGTTTTCTCCAACATTTGTCATCAGTTGCTGCTGAGCTTGACATTTGCCATGGGAATCATTTATGGTTGCGGCTATTACAGACTCCCGCTTTTTTTCTCCTCTTTGAAGTGACATGCCTGTATAGTAGCTCTTTAGTGTTTTGAGAAAAACGCGGTGCCTGATTTTGCATACCAGGGCATACTGTATTTCAGGCCAAAGTGTCATAATTACATTAGTTAAGTTATACTGTTCGTTTGGTGATGATTATAATGTTATGGCTGTTTTAACAGTGTTAAAAGGTGTGCTCCTGTTGCATTTGTGGAAAATCTGTTCAGTCAGTAAAGGCATATGTTGTGCTGTCCAGCAGGCTGAGCAAAATATGAAGTCCCGATGTTGAGTGGTCCTCAACTGAATCCTTCTTGACGTCATTACTTTTCTAGGTAAGATATACATCTCTAGAACGAGTAAATGATTACATTGTGAATAAATAAATAAACGTTTAAAACCTTTTCTTTTTTCACGTTAGGACAATGAGCTTGGCCCATTTAAAAGCTACCAAGTTCCCCTCAGTGTTGTCCTGGTGTTGGTAGGTCTTCTCCATGAGCCTTCGTGTGGATCGGTTTCTTTATTCAGTCGGCACATTTCTGGTGAGTAATTCCACACAAACAGGTTCTCTATTATACACACTTCCAGTAAATGTTGACTTAAGTGTTGTACACAGAACAGTGAAGCACAATATTGATGAATAATATGATTAATAAGGGATGGGTGGATTGAATGATATAATGAGGAACATAGTAATTACATTCTGTACAATTTTGTACATTATGCTTTGTTGGCATGCAAATTATACAGGCACTGGGAGTTTATTCCAGACCCAGATTTTATTTGACTACCTGTTTGTTTGACTACTTGTTAGATTATATTGTGGGGATGACCATTGGTGCTTTCATAAAATATTTACACAATGAGATTTTTGATAAATAATCACCAGTAATATCTATATAATGACTAAGTGGGTAAAGGCAAATAATAGAAGAGCTATAACAGTCTGGTGAGTTCACAAAACGACATAATTTTACTGTAATGCAGCCAGAGACAAAAGACAACACTTGTGTCATATCACGATATTACCATATCCAAAAGCCCACACTCCATTTAATCTCATATCACGATATCGCTATAATATCCATATATTGCTCAGCCCTAAGCTGACACTACTGGTTTTTATTTGAAGAATTTTGGTGCTGTGAAATACTGTACCGTTATGATCAAAAATTCTATAAAATATTGTGATATAAATTGTTTAAAATATTTTTCACCACAACTTTAGTGTCAATGAAAGAACTTTTGATCATATAATAATTGTTATCTCTGCTCCCTCCCTGATGCTGGTGTTAGGTCCATTGCTGCAACTCAGTCCATCCAACCTGGCAAAACCATTGATGTCCACATACAGTAACATTTGCTGCGTCCTTACGTCAACAGCTACTGGATGGGACAGGAGGATGTAGCACCTTGGAAACATCTTGACTAATTAAAGACACTTTTATGCCAATGGACTTCTATCTGCCCATGGACCTGTAATAGTAAGTCAGGGTACCTGGTAATTCTATTCAACCACATTGTATAACCCAAACTGCCAGTTCAACTTCAGTAATCTTAACCATCAAGATGATCTGTAACTATCATATTTAGCAACTCATTGTATTTATTTAAAAAAAAGAAAGAAAAAAAAGATATTTTGGTTCATTTCAATATATCATAAGTTCTGCCTTGTATGTATTTTTCTTTTGACATTTTTAGGTAAGCGTAACTGATAGCAATTATATAACCATAAGGTCATTGGGTTTTTACTCAAAAACAGGCTAAGAGATGTGTTTTTGAGTGATACATAACAAGCAGGTTGCCAAGTAATTTTACTGTTACAGTAACAGTGAGTGTTTTTTGTGCCCTAATAATGTGGAGATGTATGATAGATTAGATTACAGTGTAGACATTCAGTGTCAAGTCGACTAACTAGCCCACTGATTAACAGTGAAAACATTGCATTGCATTTATAAATTTATAGATTAAACACCCAGTTCATATTAAATGGCAAAACCTTATATTTATTTGACATTTTAAGGAAACTTACGGAATGAATAAAGGTAATGTTTTATATTACAGACTAGTGAATGCTACATTTAAAAAACAGTCATGTATTAATGTCAAACTATTATGGTATTCAATATTAATTAAAAAAAGAAAAATACCTGTTAATTTTATTTTTAGGAAACTGGCCAGCTGTCGTGTTGCCAGAAATTTTACAGTGAATGAAATACAGTAGGCCCTTTCTTGCTATTATGGTAGGATGGATATCTAGTACTACTAAGTTATAAACCATATTTTACATATTAAATACAAGCTTTTATCACCAGAAAATTGTTGCTGTTTTTGCCTATTAATTAACATAAAAAATCATGTTAGTTATATGGCAAACAGGCATTTTTCTTATGGTTTTAAAAAATTTTGCACTTCCTTAAAACCCGTTTACAAATCTGCATGTAACTAACTCATCTCATTTCCATAATAGTGGAAAACTAGTTCTACAGTATTTAATTACCTTAAGATTCTGGTAACTCACAGTGGCCGCGTTTCATGCATGCATAACTAAGTCTTGGCTAATAGAAAAACATTCTAAACCTGTAATGTTAATGATTTTTTTTTGTTTCGACTTAATATTATAACAAATATAATAAATAATAACAAATTCTCATGCACTAACCAGAAACACACATTTTGTCTACTTAAAATAATGAATTAAGTGTGGCACAGGTTTTATCTATGCTTTTAAGATATAAGCATGTAATCTTACAAAAAATTCTAAAATTCTTTGGTTACATTTAGTATGAGACATGACTTATGTCAGGCTTTCCACAAAAAAATTTGTCATCCATCTGAAAATGGCAGTTTTAAGCAGTGTTCATTTTGTCTAACAGAACACGTAAAACTGTAAAAAACAGACCTGTGGCCTGTAGTAAATTAACGACTATTTAAAAACAAATAAAGTCCTGAAGCTCAAACCTTCAGTAAATCAAACACATACAAGCATTCAGACATCTGACTATTCTCACATTGTTATATTTGCAGGTGTACAGTGGACTGTGGAAGGAGAGACCCGTTGTGATCAAGTGTGGTATTAAGGATCCAGTCAAGACTGACGGAGCTCCAGACTGTACTGCAAGAGGAGATGAGCTTATTTGACAAACCCACTCGTGGAACCTCTATGGATGAATTTAAAGAGATGCTGCACAGTTTCCTTAAGGTTGTTTTTTTTTTCAGCAATTACAATCTCTCATCATAGTGCATATGGAACAACTACTGCCATACAGAGCACAACCTGATCTAATCGAACACTCTTTCATTGAGTGTAACAAGCACACAAACTAGGAAATAGTTTGTGTATCAGTGTTTTTGATACGTCTTGGATACAGAAATGTTAAATGTCTATGACAAACATGCAGACTGTTCAAATCAAATATTTTTATATCAATATTTTTTTTATTTATACTACATTTACCTTTACTTGCAGGCTAAGCTTGGTGAGCAGCCATCTTTGAACACCTTGGTGGACAGGGTCATCACTCTGGCTGATATCAATCAAGACGGCAAAGTGTCTCTAGCAGAGGCCAAGTCTATCTGGGCTCTTCTCCAGATCAATGAATTCCTTCTGATGGTGGCGCTGCAGGAGAAGGAGCACACGCCCAAGCTGCTCGGCTTCTGTGGAGACTTGTATGTGACAGAACGTGTGGGCCACAGCTCCCTCTACAGGATAGAGGTGCCTCATTACCTGCAGGCCCTGGTCCCAGAGGCCTTGAGCTCCAGCTTGAACCACTGGCTTGCATCAGTCTGGCCCCGCAGAGCTCGCATCACCATCGGCCGGCTGGAGGTCTTCCACAGGTCCTACAGGAGTTTGTGTTGTGTGTTTGTGTTCCCTTTACATAACAAAAACAAAAAACTACAACAAGAGTGCAGAGTTATGCTGAACATATACTTGGTCAAAGCAACATTAAATTTCAAGGCTGTGTGTAATTTCTTTTTATTTATTTATTTGTTTCATTAAATGTCCTTTGCACTTATGAGCAAACTGTTTCTTTGTGAAAGCCAGATTCAAAAAGGCTTCATTATTGGCTCATAGTCCATCATAAAATGTATGTATATGTATATGTAAGTTTAAGTAACCACTATTCCTACGTTGACAAGTTTACACACATTAGACAACTATAACTGACCACAGAATCAAATAATTTATGAATAATTAATGAAGTTATCATGTTAAAACTCATTTCTTTACAAAAAGAATTAGTGTAAGTTGAATATCTTTTAAATGCTTTTCATTTATTGTTTAAAGAATGTGGGAAGAAACCGGAGCACCCGGAGAAAACCCATTGGAGATAGAAGATAGGGAGAGGAGAAAGGAGACAGGAGAGAGGAGAAAAGATGAGTATTATGTGTCATCGAAATGACATGAACCCTGTTTTTTGGAGAATGAGGGAAGAAACCGGAGCACCCGGCGGAAACCCACAGGAGAAAGGAGACAGGAGAGAGGAGAAAAGATGAGTATTATGTGTCATCGAAATGACATGAACCCGGTTTTTTGGAGAATGAGGGAAGAAACCGGAGCACCCGGCGGAAACCCACAGGAGAAAGGAGACAGGAGAGAGGAGAAAAGATGAGTATTATGTGTCATCGAAATGACATGAACCCGGTTTTTTGGAGAATGAGGGAAGAAACCGGAGCACCCGGCGGAAACCCACAGGAGAAAGGAGACAGGAGAGAGGAGAAAAGATGAGTATTATGTGTCATCGAAATGACATGAACCCGGTTTTTTGGAGAATGAGGGAAGAAACCGGAGCACCCGGCGGAAACCCACAGGAGAAAGGAGACAGGAGAGAGGAGAAAAGATGAGTATTATGTGTCATCGAAATGACATGAACCCGGTTTTTTGGAGAATGAGGGAAGAAACCGGAGCACCCGGCGGAAACCCACAGGAGAAAGGAGACAGGAGAGAGGAGAAAAGATGAGTATTATGTGTCATCGAAATGACATGAACCCGGTTTTTTGGAGAATGAGGGAAGAAACCGGAGCACCCGGAGGAAACCCACAGGAGAAAGGAGACAGGAGAAAGAAAAGAGGAGACAAGCAGGAGAGAGGAGATAGCAGAGGAGAGAGGGCTATTCATAATATTTACCTTGAAGGAAAAGAGAAAAAAAGACATTTTTTTGCTTCAAGATGAATATTACATGTTGTCTAAATGACAACTCTATTTCCTTATTGGAAAATGTTGGAGATGCCTTTTCTCATAGAAGAGAAGAATCTGGAGATGGCGTTGCGTGGATTTGGTGATGTCAGTTGTCTTTTGAAAGAGGAAGCAATGTAGTTTGCAAGTTGTGGTTCCTGTAACTTCATGGAAATCAGAACCATCTCTGCACAGCGCCATCTCTTACAAAGGTCCTTGAAAATGGTCTTGTCGAGGTGTTGAACTGTCTCTGGGGTAATGTGGAACTTGGTGCCTTTGACTTCAGCCCATGTTTTTTCAAACAGATGTTGAATGATGACACCTGAGTCTTCAGAAAAGTTAACTTTTGCCTTTCTGAATGCGCGGGTAACAAGTTTTTCCACGAGAACCCTGATAGACATTTTGTTTTTTTCTGCCTGTGCTCTTGAATACTGCAGAGGTTCAGACTCACAAACTGAGGCAGATGCTGCCTCCTCTTGGAGCTGTAATGATGCCATTGGCTCAGTGTTCATTAAGGCAAGCGTCACCCTGCGACTGTGGCCGGCAGCCTGAGTGTTCAGCCACCAGCTAATCAGTGCTAGGAAACAAACCACTCTGCTCTGTATGTCAAGATACATGTTGGGATGGGACTGAAGTGGTCTTGGAATTATCTCTGGGGTCATGTGAGAGTGGAGCAAATCACTAAGTTCTGTTGTGAATACCAGGACTTTATCAGGTGAAAGGTCGTTGAATCTCTGCAACGCCTGAACTTCATTTCCACTTGTTTGGTTTTCTCCATCTTCTGTCAGAAGCAGAGAGTCAACACTAGCCATGAGTGACTCGATTGACTTTCTGCTTTTAATCTTGGCGCCCCGGTGGAATTTTGTCTTTAATTGTGCGACTATCCGATGAATGGATGCGCTGATAAATCTCTTGGCAAAAAAAGTCTTTATCTTTGTCTTCATTCCTTTCAAAGGAGTTTTGTGGCTCTTCTTGTATTTGGGGCTTGAACTTGAACATTTTGTTTCTTGCAGACTCTCTGTTTCTTCAGTAATTGACTGAACGATGAATTCTGCAAGACTTTGAATCTCCAGGGAAGATTCAGATTGAAGCAGCTCAAAGTCAGAGGGTGGGACTTCAACCATAAGAGGTTCTATAAGTGAACAGACCTCCTTGCTAATTATTGTATGTACGGAGGTGGTCTGGCTTCTTTTACGTGGTGGTGATTTTCGAATTTTCATTGTGGCTGCAAAAGCCTTCAACATTTTGCAGGCATGACCAACCATCTTGTTAAGCGTGCGGGGTGGAGTGACATGTTGTAGTACAGGCTTCTCAGAGCACATGTTAGCGAGGAGGACAGAGTTGACACTTTCTGTAACCTCTTTCCCAATCAAGACTGACAGTCGTTCAGAGCCAATATTCTTGTCTTGCTCTTCGGTGTTCAGCACATCTGCAAAACTTTGAGCGAGTGTACTGCCCAGACTGGACTGAATACACACGTCAGACGGTAATAAATTTTGTTTCTGAAGGGCTGTCAACACTGTTTTTGTTGCAAATGACATTATGTTCAGAAGCAGGTCTGCCAAAATAACCTTGATGGTAACATCAGGGGTACCGGCTTTTAATAATGCCCACTGTTCCTGTGTCATCCTTGACAGACAGGATTCAACAAATGGGCGAACAGTTTCGGATGTAATCTCCGGCATCTCCACTATGTCTGGTGATTCTCTTGAATCCATAGCAACGTTTTGTGTTTTTTCCTCTCGATTTAGTTTTCACGTACGGGTCTGTCAGTGGAAAACTAGCAGCAGTGAAAACTGAATGTGTTGGGGGGACAGTCTTAAATATTCCTGTCAGAAATTATCTTGCAGAGCTGGTTATTCAGTACAAATATTATGTGAATATAAAGTAAACGAGGAGCTAAATATCAAATATCAGCGTAATGTCATTCACTGTGCTAAATTGACATAAATGTGATTACACTCAATGTTACTTATATACTCAGTATATGTCTTTAATACGTCATTAACTACGTCATTCAACTTCAAAGGCATTCCAGGTGACATATCACAGTAGACTCAGATCAAAGGACTCACTTTTCATTAAGCCTTGCCCCCTTACAGCGACTGTAACCTAGCAACCGTTGCTAGGCACCTGCGCCGTCCCTCAAAAAGATCCCAGTCCTCCATACTGCTGACAGTTAGCTCTCTTCATGTTGACATGCTGCTGTATCCCCACATAAAAAGGTGTTCGTTGCCTTCCCGTCCGGTGTAAAAGGCATTTAAGCAGGGCACAGCTATGCTAACTAGCTGCTAGTCCGCTGAATAAGTTTTAAAACACGCACATTTACCGGCGGGAAACCTCTCCTGCAGTCTGCAGACAGACCCGTCTTGTCTGCTTTGGCATACTTGTCGCTTTCATATATGGGTCAGAAGGAAACATGACGTCAGGTGGAGAAAGCGTTTTTAAACCAACCAGCTACAGCTGATGAAATATGGAGCAACAGTTATCATTTCAGTCGCAAAACTCAACCAAATACGAGACACCTGCTTTTTGCTTCTTATTTCTGAAACGAATCATTGTTAAAACTAAAGCCTGACTTCTTGGCCTTAGGCATGGTTACAGTAAGACAGTAAACAATCGGTGCTTAGTCCCGACTTAAATCTAAATTCAGAGGACATGCTCCATCGGGGAATTATTTCCCCATTCACAGCAGCTATATATACTATTTACTCTAACAAGCCATTTGTACATCATCTGGGGAAAAAATATTGTTGCCCAGGAAAAAAATCATCCAGAGCCTGAATCAAATATATGCTATTTTGAATCTAGTTGTCCTCTGTCTCCATAATTATGAAAACAAAACAAATTTTGAGAACGATTAATTTTCACTTCTGCCACAGAAAAAGAGGCAAAACTATTGTCTGATGTTATTTAGAATTGACATAGCTGGGAAATGAATTTGGCATGAACAGCATTACTAATCTTGAAACCTATTTTTGTGACAGTATGCTGAAGTAGATTTCACAGATTTAATGCTGACAAATCTACATTTAAATCCAGACCATCATAATAGGCTATGTGCTGCTCTAACAGACATGGATCCACAACAAAGCCAAGTAAATGTCTTCAATACTCTGAACTGAATATTAGGTCAACAGAAGAACATTTACTCTAATGATATTAAATTTATTTTAGGAATAGCGTCATAGGATAGACAACATGTACTGTAATATCATACAGTCTTTTACTTTATTTTGGTCTACTCCTGATCACTCTGTTCTCATCTCATATATCCCTGGAAATGTCTTCCACTCAAAGAAGAAACTATAAAACAGAGTTTTAATATTTCTGATTATAAACTGAAGACGTGAAATATTAAATGTGTATCTCATCTTGTAGATTATCGCGGTCAGTGAGGTTACTTATTTCCCCCAGTGGATCAGTAGTTTCAGATATATAACTTCAGTAGCCTGACTAATGAAAGCAAGCCTTTGACTTCTTTTCACACTTTGGCAATTAAGCAAGTGCATGTTTTTCTGCCATATCAGTTTCATTATTCATTTATTAATTTATCATTTGCACTCACTAGCTCTTAAAGTGGGGGATTGAATGAAAGAGTAATGCAATTCCTGCATCCCACATTTTCATTTTTCACTTATCACATTTCACTAGAAATTAAAGCTGAATTAAAGTATGCATAGATAAATAAATGCTCAAAAAACTTTGTTGGTGTGTGATTAAAAAAAACAGTCAGTTCAACAGAACTGACATAAATTTCTAGTCAGACAAAGGTAATGCGATGTAGTTATTTTGAGAGGTGTACTTATTTATTCATGTTACTGTGCTGTGTAAAAATTTCTTGTGCAAGCCATTTCTAGTAAACTTAATTTGAGTGATTGAATTGGAATTCAGTGTAGGCTAACAATACAACAGAGGGCCATAATGGTCAATATAGACTACAAATGTTACAATAAAATGGCAACTCCTAACAGGTCAATAAAAATGAAAATGGCATTAAGGTCTAAATGCTATGGGCACGTGAAAAAAACATAAACAAAAAAAATTTTGTGACCTATTTATTTCAATTTTGGCTTACATTTCTATTGACAGGAGGAAAATCAGGGTCAATAGCCTGCATTGATGGACAGGAAGTGGTATTGACCCGTTTTCCCTTCACAAGGAGAAGGACAGGAAGAACAGAAGAGATTTTATGTCGGCGGTGTAAAAACATCTCACAGCTGAGATCCCTCACCTTTCCCTTTAAAAAAAGCGCAGCGATGAGTCGCTGGGAAACTGAGGTTCTGCGCCCGTCAGTAGAAACGCTGGTTATGTCTGTGTCATTACGCTATATCCAGTTTCATCCGAGGAGATAATAATGAAGACGCTGCCTTCGCGCTGCTGGTGATCGCAGCCGGATACCGGAAAGGAGCTCTTTATTCTGGGCTGTAACGCAGATTTTTTTTTCTTTCGGCTCATATGAAGCTCAAATCTGAATTTGCTCAATTTCAAGGACGCACACTTGATCCAGCGATTTTTCTTCGGCGAAAGATTTGCGTTTGAAAAACGGGCTTAGGAAACCATACTATTCCGTGTCGGTGCAGTAAAAGACAATCTGAAGGAAATACCATGACATATGCTGCACCCAATAATTAGACGCAGGCTTTTGTTATTTGCGGTTGGCGTAGGTCTTCCATGAGGATGTGATCGAACAGGGATAACTGGATTCTCGCTCCGCTGCCATCCAACAGAGCCGCTCACGATGCCCAGGGCATTACGGAGGCTGGTCCATTTGGTGCTGTTCTGCCCTCTGTCTAAAGGCCTGCAGGTAGCCTATGCATGAACAGCATGATGTCAGCCTGCTTTAATTTGTTGTCGCTGTTGCACGCACGTCAAACTACAAGGACAATATCTGCGTCAAAGGCATCTATAAGCCCGGTCCACATGCATCACAAAATGTCCTGAGTCTTAAAATAATACACATCAACACATGAGCTATGTTGGTTTTATCCTAAGGTCAAGTGACCAGCTGGTCATTTAGTCATTGCGCAGGCCTCAGAGGTAGAAAGGAAATCAGTGCATTTACATCAGGGTACTGCAAGACTTGATGTAGGCCTACTCCACTATATTTTCCTATTAGAGTTCTGGAAGTCTTCTGTTTTTAAAATAAGTGTAAATGTTATGATCAGCTGTCAGCTTACTGTTTTCTCTTCTCCTGCTCATCCACCCCTCTTCCCCAAAGAGCCGTCTCCCAGCCATTAAAGTGAAGTACCTTCTCCTGGCATGGCTGGGCATCCTCATCGCCAGCTGGGTCATCTACATGCAGTATGCCTCTTACTCTGAACTCTGCCGTGGGCATGTCTGCCATATGGTCATTGTGAGTACAGTCTCTCAATACTCTGCAACTCATAACTTCATCAGCACAAATGGTGCTAAGACAGTAAACCATGTCAGGATGCTACAGAAAGAATCAGAAATTTTGATTTCTGCATCATCATATCTTCATGTTTGTGTGCACAACCACCTCTGACGTCCCCTGTACTCCAGTATGGCAATGCTTTACACAGCACCATTAAATAAATATTATGTTACTGAGTTAAATGGCTCATTAGTGGCAGCTAAATTCACATTAGGATCAGATTTCAGTATCATGACATTTCTAGCGTGCTCTGTCTGTACCGTACAGTTGTGATGTTTATAAAAATGTGGTTGAGATGCAACCATGAAAATATGGCAGGACAACTGTACAGGAGAACTGTCTTTTGAGGAAGAGGAGGGACAGTTGGGGGATGCTTTTGTTGGCCTCTTCCACCATACATGGATTTAGACGCTGGGTAATAATCCAGCCTATAGCCTTACTACTCTCCCACTGTGCCCAGCTGTTTTCAGAGTTTTTAGCTGAACAAAACAGGCTCTGACATTTAATGAGACACTGAGGACCATGGTGGCAATTTAACAGGATAACACATCCGAGACTAATGAATGCACAATGAAAGATCAATGCTGTGACCTCATTACAACAAATAATCAAATCTGCCTAACAGTTTTTGTGCCTGCCTATGCATAGATGTAAGTGTGAACTGAGTGCCTCAGTTTTAGACATTGTTAAATAGTGTTGAAGAAACTATACACAAAGGCAAATATAATACAGCTTAAATTAGTCTTTGTGTTAATGAGGTGGGACTTTTATCATGTGCACAGAGGTGATTGATTTGCCTCTTGCTGCTTTGTGTTTTGGTGACTGGTCATGAACAGGACTGCTCTGAACTGGGAGGGGAGGTGCATTGTGGGGGTCTGTCAGTTAACTGCTGTGCTGTGCCGTTTTTGTGGCTTTAAGTGCCAAAGAAGCATGTTCATTGGATGAAAGTCTGTATCCATACTGCATTGAGCTATAGTGAAAACCACAATGAGTGACCTACATGAGTAAGAACAGTGGGGTCATGGGAATCCATCGGTGAAACTTGATCCATAAAAGACCACAAAAGATCTTAAAGGAATAGATTATTATATTAATATTATACTAGGTAATTTGTAGATCAGTGTAGTATATGTAGTTTAAAAGCACAAAGCAAAGCCTTTTATTTAACCAATTACTGTTGACCTTGTAGAATAATCATGTTGCACTGGACATTCACTTATATTGTTAAGAATTACCAGCAGTAATGTTTAATATTTACCCATCAATTTGTGTAAATGTGTGCAGAATGTCTGATTTGCACTTTTAATCTGATGGAGATTGTGTGAGATCTGGGTAGCAGCTGGGCAGGCAGGTGATGGTGTCATATGGTGAGCATTTGAGGGATATTTGAAAGCGACAGCTAGTGGACAGGCATGAAATGGCAGTTCTGGGATGAGATGTGTTGTTAGAAAAATGCATAGCACCCAGGCTAAACATAAGAAGTGGAGGCAGAAAAAGAGGAGAGAGCACAATGTCTCCATCTCATGGGCTTTCAGCAGGCAGTCTCTGCAAAGGTTCGTCTGAATGTTTACAGACGCTGAAGGCAGAAATAAACAGAAATTTTAAAATACTTGAAGTAAATATTGGATTCACCTTTGCAAGAGAATGAAACACTTGAGGGATCGTACTGACTGTTTCCCTTCGATAATGTAGGGCCTTTCCTGTTTTCTTTTGCAGTGTGATCACTACAGAAGAGGCATAATATCAGGCTCATCCTGCAAGGCATTGTGTGATCAGAGAAGTCTAACCCTGCAGCGCTGCATGTCCACTTCCTCTACACATCAGGTAAAATGAACACATGCACTGTACGCACACCTGCATAATAAATCTTGGCTAAAGAAAACATTTGCAAATGTGTGTTAATGATTTTTTTGTTTTGCTTTTAACTAACAGATTCTAATGTACTAACCACACATTTTGTCTATTTAAAATATATTCAATATATATTCAATATGGCATCATTCCCACACACACTCCAGAAAATAATCAATATATTGTCAGGGACATTGTATTCTCATTTAATTAGCATTAACAGCATTAACATTTCTGCTAATATTTCAGAGGAAAATAAAACTTAAGTGTAAGATCTTTCCATAAAAAATACTTCAGAAAACATAACAACAAATGTAAGAATGCAGGAAAAATGCTTTAGTTACATTTAGTATGAGACATGACTGATGTCCGGCTTTTCTGCAAAGAAATTTATCTGAAAATGGCAGTTTTAAGCAGTTTCCATTTGTCCACCAGAACATGTAAAACTGTTAAAAACAGACCCGTGGCCTGTAGTAAATTAATGCCTGTATTTAAAAACAAATAAGTTTAACCTTCAGTGAATCACACACATACAAGCATTCAGACATCTGACTATTCTCACATTGTTATATTTGCAGGTGTACAGTGGACTGTGGAAGGAGAGACCCGTTGTGATCAAGTGTGGTATTGAGGATCCAGTCAAGACTGACGGAGCTCCAGACTCTGTACTGCGACAGGAGATGAGCTTATTTGACAAACCCACTCGTGGAACCTCTATGGATGAATTTAAAGAGATGCTGCACAGTTTCCTTAAGGTTGTTTTTTTCTCAGCAATTACAATCTCTCATCATACAGAGCACAACCTGATCTAATCGAACACTCTTTCATTGAGTGTAACAAGCACACAAACTAGGAAATAGTTTGTGTATCAGTGTGTTTGATACGTCTTGGATACAGAAATGTTAAATGTCTATGACAAACATGCAGACTGTTTAAATCAAATATTTTTATATCAATATATTTTTTTATTTATACTACATTTACCTTTACTTGCAGGCTAAGCTTGGTGAGCAGCCATCTTTGAACACCTTGGTGGACAGGGTCATCACTCTGGCTGATATCAATCAGGACGGCAAAGTGTCTCTAGCAGAGGCCAAGTCTATCTGGGCTCTTCTCCAGATCAATGAATTCCTTCTGATGGTGGCGCTGCAGGAGAAGGAGCACACGCCCAAGCTGCTCGGCTTCTGTGGAGACTTGTATGTGACAGAACGTGTGAGCCACAGCTCTCTCTACAGGATAGAGGTGCCTCATTACCTGCAGGCCCTGGTCCCAGAGGCCTTGAGCTCCAGCTTGAACCACTGGCTTGCACCAGCCTGGCCCCGCAGAGCTCGCATCACCATCGGCCTGCTAGAGTTTGTGGAAGAGGTCTTCCACGGGTCCTACGGGAGTTTCTTAATATGCGATGCCAGTCCCTACCATGTGGGCTACAATTCAAAGTATGACTGTAAGATGGCCAACCTGCGCAGTGTGGCATCTGAGGCTGTTGTCCGGGGATATTTGAGGGGGCGACGATGTGAGACTAACGCAGACTGTACTTACGGCCGGGACTGCACGGCCACCTGTGATCGACTAGTGAAGCAGTGTAATACTGAGGTTGTACAGCCCAATCTTGCAAAAGTGTGCGTGCTGTTGCAGGATTTTCTGCTTTTTGGAGCACCTTCAGACCTCCGTGGAGATTTAGAAAAGCAGCTACGCACCTGTGTGACACTCAGCGGTCTGGCAAGCCAGATGGAGGTGCATCACTCACTAGTCCTTAACAACCTGAAGACATTATTGTGGAAGAAAATTTCCAACACTCAGTACTCTTGAAAACTGTACTTCTACATATTGAGTGAACTATTACATGGACACAAGTATTTTTCTCTTATGAAACTTTGCCAAATGTTTTAGAGGGTGGTGGTTATTACTGTATTTTCACTCTTCATTGACTGTGAATAACAGGAAGCTGTGAACTAATGACTATACAATATGAACAGCAGATGAAGCTGGCTTACTCTCTTAAAATCCCATACAAGCCCTGTTATGCTTTTGTTTTCCAGTGCATTTTGAGAAGCACAGTCATCTGTTTAGACATCTCAGGGCACGGCCTATAATTTTTATTTGGAAACTTCTGTACATAAATAATCAGTTTTTAAAATAAAGCAACCAACACACTGGATAATTTTGTGTTTCATAGATTACTCTTTTGTCTGTCCCTATGATGTGAAACTGTGACAGGGTGTAATGCTTTTTGTAGAACTGTAAATATTAGTGGAACATTGTTGTTTCCTGTTTATAAATGAATCTACACCTGAAGCAGAGGTAAGATACAGTAATGTATTGAAATGATCTGATATTGATGATGTATTCAAATCGAACTGAACAGCTGGAGATGTAAAGGACAGTCAGACACGATTAAACTTGAATGAACTTCTAATCCATGAATGAAGTTAAATTGGTCCAATTAATCTTCAACACGTTGTGATTAAAACTGCATTTTTCTAAACTGCGCAGCTACAGTCAGTGCAGAAAAAGTCAAAAATTGTAAATCAGATGTTCTCATAGAAACCCCCAGAAAGATAGATGCAAACTTTTCCCTGTTAATTTACTCTAAAGCAATGATTTCAGGATTTGAGTGATTTCATTTCGAGCAAGCAGGAAAAAACCGGCATCTCATTAATAGCGGCTCTTGCGGCTGAAATGACAACTGTCGCTGCAAGGCTCTCTGTGGGGCCTGTACTGAATTGCATCACTACGCCCCGATCTGACCCTGAGGAAGGTAGGTAAACTTTATAGCTTAGTGTTAAAATAATCTTAGTAGCTAATTGCATACATGTCCACATTAGGTAAATATCACATATATGAGAAACCTTGTAATATTAGCTGAAGTTACTGTGTGTAAGATAACTGTGTGGTGTAACCACTTGTATCAAAACCATAGACCAAGGGAAAAACATGTTATAATGTGTTTTAAAATTAGTTCTGCAAAGCGAAGGTTACGTTAACGAACTTAGTGTTAACAGAGACAGTGGGTTGTCAATGTCGGTAAGTTACGGTCACTAAACGATAACGTTATTACAGTTTATTCATTTATTTGCCCACTCATTAATGTGTATTGCTTTATATTTTTACAGACCCCCCCCCCGTTACAGTTTTAAGCATTCGTATTCCAGGCACGAGGCCACCGGTGAGACTATATAAACTGTGGGCGAGCTGCATTCTTCAGTTGGCGGTTAACGTTTTTTTAAGTAAAGCAACTGAAGACCAGCTCACCCACAGTGCCTTTGTTGTTTATCCTCACAGGCACTCATTTTAAAGTATGTCACCCCTGGAGCACTCAACTCGGCCTAACACCTGCAAAATGTTAGAGGCAATCACAATCAAGACGAAAAACTTGTGCAAACAAACGACCACACAGACCAAGAATAAGCCAGACTACCTCCATAAAGAGGCATGGGACAATGAGGACCAACTAAAGCGGGAGGGTATGGCATCTGCACACACTGATCAGTCAGCAGTCAGATCTGTGGAACCAGAAACCTCAAGGGAGGTCACATCAGAGGACAGCTTTGTGAGTGAATAAATATATATCTAGGAAATAGTTAGCAAGGAGGTGAGCGCAATCACAGAATCTCATTTGGTTGAAGAGCCATATTCTGGGCATGAGATGGCAGCAATCTGAATCTTTTCTGGAGATTAAAAGTTTTACAGATGACATTGCTCAGTCAATTACTGGAGAAGTTGAGAGTTTGAAAGAGACAGAATATTCAGGTCCAAGCCCCAAATGCCAACAGAGGCGCAAAATGTCTTTGAAAGGAGTGAGGAGGAAGATTAACTTTTGACATTTGTCAGCACATCCATTCATCGGATGGTGGCACAACTAAAGACTAAATTCCACCATGGTTAGTGTCGACTCTGCTTCTGACAGAAGATGGTGAACAACAATAAGGTTCAAATACATTTCATCTGCTGAAGTTCTGAAATTCACACAACAATTTAGTGATTGGGTCTACACTCAATCACAGATGGGAGGATGGCAGAGATTATGCCAGAATCAATTAGAAAGAGGGGAGCTTGCAGGGCAGTGCCTGTTCCTCAGTCACATGTAAACATGTATCTTGACATACAAAAGAAGTGAAAGAAGGATAACATTGAAACAAGTCATCCCCGTATTGCCTTCAAGTGCTGTCGGGAATAAATACCACTTGTGACCAGGTACCACTTGAAAGGGTAAATATTGCTGATTTGCGGGATTTCAGTGTTTAACATTCGCTTTTCAAATAAAGATATGAACACATACAAAACACATTTGCGCAGAAAAATCAAACACTGACTTATATTTACGTCAGATAAACACCACCAGAGCCTTGGTTCTATTTATAGTCAATGGGCGATAAGTCATGAAGCCAGTAGCAGGAAGTACGAGGAGCTCAAAAGGCAGCAGCTGGTTGATGGGCTGGTCTCCCCCCTGTTGCTGCCTGCCTAACAAACACAGAGCTGATGACCGTGGGCATCCTCGCAACGATGGTCACTGCTAGAAAGACACGTAACGGTACCTGTGAGGTAAAGTCTGTCATGAGTTAAAGGGTAGTTTTGCCGGCGGCTCAGAACCGTATGTTAGCTAAATGAAGTCTGACAAGCTAACGTCAGGTTTAGCTCTTTTCAAGCAGCTAGCTTCAGTCTTGGCTAAAAGTGCTGCCTGCCACTAGCAGCTAGGTTAAGTCAGCACAATCTTGTGAGAGCCGCTAGCCTTCTGAAGTTGCTCATTACATCTATTGTATCCAGCTGGCTAACGGCGTTAGCTAGCGTTACTTCTTTAGCCTGAGGTGTCAACCGGTTTGTAGCTAGGTTACGCTGCAGACTGTGGGCATAGCTCCGCTGTCTGCTTACCTACTCTATTTAGGGAATGACAAACTGAAGCAAATGGCTTTTACTCTTAAATTAGCTATTTAAGCTAGCAATGCGTACTACACTATTTCAGAATAACGTTAGCCCGCCGGCATCGGATTATTGTACTCTGTGGTACAACTGTGCCCTGCCCAGCAGTGTCACTCGTAGTATTTCGCATAATGAGTGATCATTATGTAAAAGTCAAGGTTCAACTCGAGCAAATGAAATCATGCGGCGAGGATGCAGAGAAACAGGGTGTGGATACTGAGGAGCAGCTGCCAGTGTCTTCTTCCCCTGCTTCTGTCTCACCAGACCCTTCCAGCATCACCGTAGCTAGGGGAGATGCATCCAACACCTCCATCACTTGTAAACACAGAGGTAAAAGTCGCAGTAAGCAGGGAAAAGATGACAAGAACTCTTGTGGCAAACACATCTCAGATCTGTCATTGCATGGGTCTGTAGTTTCTGCTCATGTTGGGAAAAACTTGAATGGACTTGGGCATGAGAAGACACTTCACATTAAAGGAACTGGAAAGATACTGCAGGGCAAGTCAGAGCCTAATGGGAACTATTTGACCATCCATGCATCCAAAAACATTCAAGACACACGCCGTGAGGACGGATTCAAACTTGCAAGGAAGAGAAGACCAGTGACAGTGGATACATCGAAAGCCAAAACCTCGTTGGAGGCACTGAAGTTAAGCATCAAGCAGCTAAAGTGGAAAGAGGTGTGTTACATGAGTTTTTTGTTTTTTCATTTTCTTTAGCTGTTTGTCTTGGAGAAATAACAATGATAATAATATGCCACATATGACATGACTATAAGCTTCACACAAGTAGGCTATAGGCTAGTGTAGACAGCTAAATGTTAAGACGGTTATTGCCTGTAACTGCCTTCTGAAAAACATTCTCATATCATTTGTCCTCTTCATGTTGAGAACGGCCTGGAAGAACTAGAGAAAAGGCCCTCAGTGCACAATTCCAACAGTTTTCCAGGATAGGACTTATCATTAAATGACATATACATACATTACTGATATAAAATGGACAGGAGATTTGACGGTGATAAAGAGAATGTGGCTCTCCAAAGACATAATATGCTGATGAATCTGCCCAGCCATTAAAATAGTATGGACAATTGTAATTGAGCATTAATTTATTTATAACCTGTTTTGGACACAATATGTTGTAGGCAGAAAATGCACTTTAATTTTATAAGGCGGCTTCTTGTCATATCTATTTTTGTTAACCTAATCACATTATTACATTTCTGTGAGGGGCAGAAGTTTGTTTTTGCCCTAAAGTCAAGCTGATTATAAACACGCTGAGGCTGAAACTAGAAAAAATGTTAGTCATGTGTCTCATTTGATATGGATTTAACACATAACACTGAAATGAAAGGAATTTTATTTGAAGTTTCCTGCATTTGTTTTGCAAATTAAGTTGTGAATGGAGTCAGTTAACCCAAGTTCTGCCTTTTATGTTTTCCATGAATACATATTTGGAGTATAATGATTTGTTGCCCTTTCCCATTGGGTATTTATTTCCAGTGTCTCTACCAAAGTGTTTGTTGAATAAGTCATGGAAATAAAACTTTGCTCATTAATACTTAGATGACATGATGACCTTTAACCCAACCATAAGCTGATAATGTCAGTTTGCATGCCTCTAATGGATGAAATTACACAGGATGGCTGGGGATGAAAGTTATTTCAAATGAAAAGCGGCAACTTTAAAAGATTTATGAAGGGCCTAATTGATCCAGTTCTTTTTGCTTCAAGCCATAAATACCATCTGGTCAGTTTGAATGTGATGCAATTAATACCTTCTATCAGCCATTATTGCCATGGTGTCCATTATGCATGGGAAGTAAAGACAGGCAATACGATGAGACAGGTGAGGTAAAGACTCAACTTATCACTGGTGACCATGCAGTGACACTTAAACCCTTCCAGGTCTGGTATCAGAAACGTAGACAGAAGGACTATACATTACCACGCTTTGTCCACATGATCCACCCCCAACAAAGTCAAGGGCGCTATAGATCCTGTGTCATTTTGAAAGTACCTGTCAACATCTTTGAAGGGGCTGAAACTCCAGTAGCCGTGCTCTATTTGTTTTACCAGTTATGAAAGGAACATTGAAGAGTTGTACCACACCTACCAGTTGATTAACTGTACAACATGGGGTGTTGGATACAGTTTATGAGGACATTTTAGTGACTGATGATTTGAACATTTGGCTTTAAGGCCAATTTACATCCAAATGACTACGCCTGTACATCTGCAGTGTTCTCAGAAGAGACAGCTGTCAACTGACTTTCAGCATATGGCACACTCAAACAGTAGGAAATGATTAGCCTTAAGCTCCTCTAATCCAATAGACTTCTAGTCCTCTTTGAGGCAGAGAGAGAATGGCATGCCCGAGGGTCTGAGTGACAACTTGAGAAAATGGGACTAATAACTGCGTTTAATCATGGGCTTGGTATTTTGATTAGAATCCAACATTTTGAATAAAAGCACATTGATTTTAAAAAGGCATGTCACTTAGATGCCTCCTTGTAGCACGTTTGGAAAACATTAAGATGAATACCTGAAATTATAAGTTCTGTTAACTGGATGAGCGAACTTAACATATCCTTCATGGCTGCTTTTTGCTAGTGTATTAGTTCAGCAAGTATTTTCATTCACGAGGTGGCTTGGAAAATGAACCACACATGACTAAGTCCACAACAATGGCTTAAACATTGACCTAACTTTCCATACACACACAAGATGGCTATTTTCGAGCCTGATCCCTTACAAACTTCTCAAATTAATTTAACCTCCTTCCCTAATGCGATTAAACGGTCATACGATGGCATCTCCCTGGCAGTAATTATAGCAGGTCTTGGCTGTCGAGAAGGGTTTCCCTCTTTTCACAAGCTCTCATGCTAACTCATTAATGAGATGTAATTCTGTCACAGGTTTATCTTGTAGCTGGACAGTTGGGTGGGTCATATCAAGATAGAGTTTAACAATGGTAGGTGACGATATACTGCTGACCTTCCAAAACAACTTGATATAGAGTTACGATATTACAAAGTTAAAGATAGACTCCATGACATAATGTGTCCCAGCTCAGTGTTGATCTTTTGAAACTCTGATGTGAGCTGCGTCAAGTTTTAAGATTTGAACCATGCGCTGGGTGGAATTCAGGGAATGGTTTTTAAACTATTCAGATCTCTTCCAGCAGTTATAAAGATGAAGACTGCCCACGAAGACTACAAAAATGATAGAGAAAGACAAAAAAAAAACAAAAACAAATACTGAGCAGTAAATTGTCACTTACTAAATGTTACTTTCCTGTTTGGAACAGTAGTCTTCTTTACAGTTCACATAGATGACTTAAGGTGTAATCACAATATACTAGCAGAGTATTTGTGAAGCATCCACATACTGAAGATATCTCCTGTTATACTGAGACCAGTAGAGACCAAAAGTATGACCCAGATTCATGCAGTATGTAAACAGAGTATCAACTCCATTTGTTTAAAAGATGCACAGAAAACATCCAGTAACGCATTGTGTGTTAATGGAGAGAAGTGAGTTACAGCAGCGAGTTGGATAAATGTAACAGTGGAAGCTGTCTTAATAGTTGTTCATGTACTAGCCAGTATCCAAACACTGCTAGAGCTCTTTTTGTTTTGTTTAAATAAAAACATTTTTATGTTAGAATAATTGTGTCTTCTTTAATATGAGTCTGGAAAGTAAATCAAAATTGAAAGGCTGAATATTCAAAAGAGAAAATTTGAAAATTGACACAGTATGAGTGCAATATCCTGTCCTTTTAATTTTATGATAACAACACCTTTGATGCATAATATGTGGTTTGGAGTGTGGGCGGGAGTAGAGGTGTAGTGGACAAAAGCTGTGACTTGTGCCAGTAGGTTTTCCTAACGCTCTAAATCCTTTTATAGTATCACTTCCTCTCCTCTTTCCCAGCTCATCACAACAGAACACGCACTACCTACCATCTTTAGGCAAGATTATCCTGCACTCTGGGATCACCAGAAGCACTTTACCAGTGTCCTGAGTCATATTAACAGATTAAGCCTTCTTTGTCATTTACAGATGCAAAAGCAGTATGAGTTTCAGAATTGGTTATTCTTTATCATTCTGTTGTTGCAGATCATCTTTTATTTCCTGTTTTCACTTTTCTCTGTGTGTGTCTTCAGTTTCCTCTGGGAAGACGAACAGTCTGTGATATCTACTGGCATGGCGTCTCCTTCCATGATAATGAAAATATCGTCTCAGGGCAGGTGAACAAGTTCCCAGGTATTGCAGTGCTTCTGCCCCTCTCCTCTCCTGCAACCCTCTGTTCACATGAAGCACCCCACACTAATGCTTGTCGAACCATAAGTGGAGAGATGCCTTGATTTCAGCTCGCAATACTTCACGTGTACTCAGTATTCTGTAATCACAACAGGAGGGATTTAGTTAAAGCCTTACTGATCCTCATTGCTCCAATGCTAACCTTTTCATGCCATGGCAATAATCATGTATTAGTAACAAATGTACGTCCAAATCTCCATCACTTCCTGGCTTGCACTCATCTCCTCTATGTCATTCTTGCGTCATATTGAGTTATATCTTTTTACAAGGTCGTGTCTATCTGCCTTTTTAAGTATGGAAACTCTTTCTTGATATCGAGAAGTCTTCTGTAGAATCTATCTGCTTACAGTGAAACTAGCTGCATTTGCAGCAGACAGAAAAATAATAATTTCCAAGTGCATTTTCAGTTGTATCTTTGAAATAGTTCTTTTTGCATGGCAGGAATGATTGAAATGCTGAGGAAGATTAACCTGAGTCGGGCAGTGCGGACTATGCAGGAACTGTTCCCAGAAGAGTACAACTTCTATCCCCGTTCCTGGATTCTGCCTGAGGAGTACCAGCAGTTCTCCACACAGGTATAATGCATAACACAAAAATGTTATGATACTGGATGTGATAAGTTTTTCTGGATTAACTGAAGCAAATCATTGCTCTTCTGTATTTTTTGTGCAATATGTAGCAGTCAAAACACGGATACTATATGTTGTCTGAGCAGAACTGAGCAGCCATGGAAGGCAAGAAAACGTTACATTAACCGCACGACACGAGAGTAAGATGACAAAAGATTAAAGATAAGTATATACGTGTGCAAAATAAAATAGGATTTTCGTTTTATGAAATCCTTATTTAATCGAGTAAGTGCCTATTATTGAATAAAAGGCTGAAAACAAAACAGAAGTCATGCAACATAAAACAAATAACACAAGGCAAAAATAAGCTGCAAATAAAGACAATTAAGTTTAACATAGAATTTACAATAGTGTTGAATTTCGTAAGAGATGTCACATTCCTCAATTTAAATAAACTTTTTTCGCAGCAGACATTTTTACTTGACACAGCAGCATAAACACAGGTGTTACTAATAACTTTAACAAAGCCTGCATTCCATTTAAGTGCCCCAGTAGACCGTGCCACTGAGTCAGCATACATAACAGCATGGCCTCGGACCTGGAACACCTAAATGAAATGCAGCCATCGTTAATTTCATCAGTTACACCTATGCTCCAACTGCTATTACAAGTCTAAATATGTGCTGTGAAAAATGTGTTCCTTTGGTAGATCATTCTCAGTGGCTAGAGGTGAAAACATGACTGCTTTCTTCTCTATTTGAGAAACAGAAAAACTTTATTGTCCCTCACAGAGTGATGGACATTTGTCTTTGTCATGGCTCACAGAGCTACACATATGTGTTTCCACATAGAATTAAGAACAGTTTGGCTGTCAACTGCAAATATGTGTTAGGGTATTAATTCCTTCAGACCTTGTTTGGGTGTACAGATCTGAGCTGAGAAAGTTTAGATTTTTTTTCCTGTCCTTACATATAACAGTTATGTCTTGTGAACTGAGATAAGGATGAGCCCCCAGAATGGCTTTATGAATAAATATATACTGGTGACTCAGACTCAGTCGGTGGCAGAGCAGCAGTTTGTTATCCAGATGGAGGCTGTGCGCTGTGTGAGAGGCAAAATAAGAAAGATATTCTGTCACTTCTAACTTTCTCTCTAAGTGGTCAATTTACAAGTAAATATAGCTGAAAACACAGCACCGCCTTTGTCTTGAAATTATGTGTTTGGTGATTTTGTCAGATGACGTCACGATTATAAACATATAAGCCGCCGGTTTTCAGTTCACTATTTTCATACTTGTTCTGTTGTCTGACAACATAAACAGAAAACCATGTAAGTGAGAACAGCTTTATTATGAATTCAGCTCTATTAAAATACTGTATATGTGAGCACAGAGAGGAGGAGAGAAGTTAACAGATAAAGGGCTAAAACTGGCTGACACTAGGCAGAATGCAAATATGACAAGATGGCGTCATGAATATGCTAATAGCTTATTACATCATCTAGCAACATTTGGCGACTTTTCCAGCAGGCTTCAGCTTTTTTCTTTTGAAAAAACAAAGTTCTGACTTTGTCATGCTGTCATCTTGCTTCCTCTCAAGTTTTCAAATTATTCATAATTTAGCAATACCAACACACATGCTCTGGAGTAAATTGTGGTCTTTACAATTCCTTTGCTGTGGACACTCACCATGCTACATTGCAACAGTGGCATTCTTAATAGTATGACCTGTTTAATTCTTGTTTCATGTGCTGGCTTCATTGCTCACTTTCCTTGAGGGGAAAAGCCAGACTGTAATGCCTTTATGCACACTACCCTTTATAGTAATCTGGCACTCCTTAACACATGGTTGAATCTAGTAGAATTGGGTGGGACATAAGAGGGAGGAAGAGTAGTGAAGAGAATGAGCTTCCTCCAGCTGCCTTTTCCTGGGTGACCACAGTGAACAAGGATGTTACAGTTACCATGTGTGCCATTCAGCACATGTCATAAATGATCTGACAAGGGAAGCATCTATTCAGATTTTTGGGTTATGTTCATCAACTTGGATGGAAAATTGTTCAGACAAGGAAAGAACCATTTAAAATAATGTGTTTTTTTAATCTCTGTTATTTTGGCCGGTAGTTAAAAAATTCTGACATTAAATTAAGATCACATGTACAGCAATTAGATGTGTAGTCAGATCTAATTGCAGAAACTCGATGTGTTTTTATTTTTCTCCACCACAACCGACAGTTTAACTGATTTTGGCAGGTGGCAGTTAAATTTTCTGTCACGAATAATTATACCAGTGAGCAGGTTTTCATTTTTCGCTAAATGATCTTAATTGGTGATGTAATTGCATTGGCAATAGCAATGGTTGTGGTTTGAGGAAATGTTATATTGCAGCTATATATAATGTCCAGCAGGGGGCACCAGAATATCACTATTTGACTTCCAGTTAAGTTTTCAGCAGACAAAACAGTTTCTCATTAAACAGAGGTTTTCCTGTGTTATGTTTTGTATGACATAAGGCTAATAATTAGGCACTCAACCCAACATGACTATTACATAAAAAGTCTCATTAAAAACGGAATAATAGGCTTGATTTTGACTTTGCATGTTTGCATGACGCTGGTTCTGTCTGTGTAGTAACACTTGTCTCTAAGTAGTAATCAAAAGGTGGATGTTTTTAGCTTGTAAGTAGAGATACATCCTTAATTAATACATGCAGTGTATAATCAGACTTGTGTAAAGTGAAGATTAGGTAAAGCTTTGATCTGGTTTATATGGATGCAGTACAGCTAGAAGTTAAATCTGGGTATTTATTTTACCATATTGCACAGTAAGGGACTCATCGAAGATTCAGCTCTGGAATCAGGGTAGTCACAATTTTTGGTGTCATTCTCCTCACTTGCCACTTTGTTTCTGCTGTAAACAAAATTACAAAAAAACAAAACAAAACTGAGAGTGCTCGCTATATATGAAAGCAAACCAGAAATGAAGAAAAAACTTATCCAGCATCCTAGATGGACATTTGTTTTTTGACTTTGTTATAGCCACATATCTTGCTTCATGAACTTATTCATTTGTAAGTTCAGAAGACGAATGGTGTGTTTTTATTTCAATGTAAATCACATCTGTTCTGTAACACTGGTTGTTACATCTTTAAATTTGACAAAGTGAAATTTAGTTTTATGACAAATCGTTAAGGGTTGGCTTCATGTCTGGTTTGACACCTTTCCAAACATCACATCAACAACCCATATTATAAACCTCTGCAAACATCTGTATTACACATCTTTAAGCTACCTTCACTCAGGGATATGGTTATTGAGGTTTTTGTTAACCGTATCCTATCTCACTCCTAGATTCGCATGGTGAAGGAGAATGATGCCACGGTGAATCCCACCTTCATTGTCAAGCCAGATGGGGGCTCTCAGGGGGACGGCATCTACCTCATCCGTGACCCCAGTGACCTAAAGCTCATGACGGGTTCACAGGCCAAACAGGCTGTAGTCCAGGAGTACATCCAGAAGCCGTTACTCATCGACAAGCTCAAGTTTGATATCCGCCTATATGTACTGATAAAGTCTCTGGAGCCATTGGAGATCTACATTGCCAAGGAAGGCCTGACACGTTTTTGCACCGAACCCTACCAGGTATCCAAGATGATGCTATTGATGTTGGCAGGTCTACTTTTAAGCTATTAATTTGCTTTGATGCTATAAAAAAATGCACCTCTATTTTTATAGCATACACAAAATTAAGGTCACTCTTATTCTGATGTAGGAGCCAAGCCAGAAGAATCTGAGCCATGTCTTCATGCACCTGACAAACTACTCCCTCAACGTCCACAGCGGCAACTTTGTCCACTCAGACAGCCAGAGCACAGGAAGTAAACGCACTCTCTCCAGCGTGCTCTACAGGCTCGCAGCTAAAGGTGTAGACATCAAGAAGGTGTGGTCAGACATCATCGCTCTTGTCATCAAGACGGTCATTGCTGTGGTGCCTGAACTTAAAGTTTATTATCAGGCTGATATACCGCCAGGCAAACCAGGACCCACATGCTTCCAGGTGGGTCGTGGCTAACACTGTGTTAGGATCAGAATGTGTACAGTAGGGGTGTAGAAGGTTACAAATGCAGTATTTGGACATGGACATATATTAATGCGCTCTGAATACACTCACCTCCCACTCAGTCGTACCCATTTAGGATGTATGTCCATAAATATCTTTACAAATCCTTATAACTCCAGATCCTGTCTTATAATATTAGACTTAATAATATTGACTATAGTCTAAAAACACACACAAGTGTCCTAAGATTTAAGTTCTATATTCTGACATTTGTTGGGTTCCATCCTAAATCCCTTTTTACTATTTTTTTACCGTTTGCTGTTCAGTGCAGTAACAAGACTGTCAATGTCAATTTCTATTTTTTTTTCTCTTTTTTCTTTCCATACACTCTTCAAACTCTTTATTTTTATCAAGACCTCCTCCTACTGCATGTTCAACCCAATGAGCTATTACGACCTGTGTTTTCTCAATAACCTTCCTCCAGTTTTTAAAGAAAGTTAAACAAAAGTCATGCAAAATGGCCCAGTGCACTTCTGACTTGAATTTTCCACTAACTTCCTATTCTTTTATATTTACCTTATTGATTTCCACCAGCATATTTTAACAGCTTGTATTTGGATTTGCTTACTTTTAAAGGTGGGGTACAAATACAAATGAGGTAAATGGTAAATGCACGGCCTTTTATATAGCGCTATACAATCTATGTCTCATTTACCCATTCACATACGTTTACACATTAACACACTGATGGCCTCCTAAGGCACAACACCATGGTTCATGGTTAAAATATGTTGGCAGCTAAAATAGTAGCTTTGTGTTACACCCATAGTATACAATTTAGATTATTCTTTTATATATATATTCTAATATTTATATAAAGTATGTAATTAAAAAAAATGTGTTTTGTCTCAGATATTAGGTTTTGACATCCTGCTGATGAAGAACCTGAAGCCAGTTTTACTAGAGGTCAACTCCAACCCCAGTATGAGGATAGAACACGAAAAGGAGGTAAAAGTGAATGTCAACATCAGTGTTATCATAGTTATATTGTTGATGTCATCAGTACTATTTTCAGTGCTATAATAAATGTTTGTGTCCCAGGTATCACCAGGAGTTTTTGAATATGTTCCCAGTCCTGTGGATGAAGAGGTCAAAGTGGGTGTTATTAGGGACACTCTGCGCCTAATGGACCCTGGCCACAAGAAACCTTCAATGTAAATACACTGGCTTCCACAAACATACATTACACAGTAAACACAAAGTATAAGTTCTTATATCCTCCACTCTTTGTCTGCTGGACTTAAGAGTCCACTTTTAAAGACATGATACCTTCCTCTGCCCATCCCTCCTCAGAGCCCAGCTCTGCACCACTCAACAGCTCTCCATAAGCCTGTTAAATGGAAAAATTAAATTCAGCTGAGCCGTGGTGGAAATTCACACATTACTGTACAAGTCTGGTGGCTCAATCTCTCTGGCTGACTGGCCCTGTGTGGTGCCTGGCAATAAATCTCCTCTACCATTAGGGTTTGTGTTTTTTTTTCCTTTCAATCTGTTTTTCTTCTATGACAAGAGGATTTACTGTTTCTGTTCTACCATCATCTCCATTTCTTGCCTATTTCTCTCTTTCTCTCTCGCTTTTTCTCTCCTTCCGTCACTTCTTTCTCGCCGCCTCCTCAGATTAACTTCTATATCAGATATTTGATCTGCTTTGTTCTGCAAGCGAGAGGGATATCTTCTCGGGGATAATACCCACTTAACTATTATATTCATCACCAATAACATATTGATATAATCCGCCTATAATATGCATTGCTGTATTTTCGTCTAGCTCGAATCAGCAGAACCACATCGTGTACTTGTCCATGAATCACACTACAGTGTAACAGTATACACATTCAACTAATTCCTACATAGATACTTTTAGAGACACAAAATCCTTTAATCTAATGTCCCTCATTCTGGGGGTTGCTCAAAACCTTTATATATGTGTCGGAACAACCAGTTTTAGAGCTAACATGATGAATTGATTAGTTGGTCAACAGTTAATTAGGCTATTAAAACATAAAACTATGGTCATAATCAATTAACGATAAATTAGTAATTTTTCAAGCAAAAATGTCATATGTCTTATGTAACAGTAAATTTATTATATTTGGGTTTAAGACTGCTTTTGAAGATTTCAACCTGAGCTTTGGGAGATTTGTGATGGACATTTTTCAGTAATTCCTGACCTTTTTATAGACCAAACAATTAGTTATTACAATCAGTTATTTAAGAAAATAATTGGCAGATGAGTCCATAATGAAAATTATTGTTAGTTGTAGCCCCACACGGTGGAGATTATGGACTATTATATTTTTGACCAGTGTGTTGTCAATTCATGGAAGTAACAGTTGTTGTATTGTCAGTCTGTAGCTTTCAGTTGGCCAGATATTAGTCCTAACATTACACATGAGAAGTTTCCCTGGTGCTGTGAATTATTTGGCTCATTTCATTGTGAGCACATACCTCCATTTATTTCACTGCTGTACTGTAGATGCACACTGACAGTTTATCTCCAGGTTTTAAGCCTCCCCAAGCCAATTAAATAGTGGAAGAATATCTTCATAAAATATCTCAGCGTGAGTGTATCTATAATCTGCAGTGATGTGGTGAGAAGAGGCTTAAACCCAGACCGAGGCAAGTTGCATCACAGAAGAAACAAGTTCAGTGATCTTTAATATGATATAATTCAGTGCCTCTATAAAAATGGAGCTCGGCTTATAGTGACACCAACAAGGACGAGGTTTATGATGTGAAGGAAGTTATAGTGCCTAACAGTAAAGTTTGAAATTTTCATGTATCTATTATGTTTGTAGGAAGATACCATGCCACTGAAGTGGGTGGAAAAGCTTGGAATAAATCATAATCATTATGGAGATGGGAAAAATCCAGAGTAGAGACTATAGTAGTAACAACAAATGGTGCTCAATGACAATAATGAGATGAAATAACAAGCAACAGAAGTCAGGTAAATGGGGTGCAGGTGCAGGGAATATGGTTAGAGATCTGAATCTCTGAGAGAAGCTGATGATTAGACAGTCAGTACCCAGCTATTAAATAATAATGTAACTGACTAGCAGTCAGTCTCTCATAGTCATGGTAGGACCCAGACTAAAGGGGAAATCTACATCAGTACTGCACCTGCACCTCCTAGTGTATATATCACAAATAATAACTGAGGTTGAAAAACCTAAAGCTCAAACATCTCAATAAGTTGGATATATATATATATATATATATATATATATATGATAATCAGACTCTGTTAGCTTAAAAATTTGAACACCCTCAAGCACAAAGATTTAGTATTCATGTCTGGTTGTGATTGCAGGGAAGCGTACTGTCAGCTATGCAGATAGTGACTGAGTCTTGTTGTTGAAGGGGGGGAGATATGCTAATTATGTCCCAACTAGCTAGGGCTAATGTTTATTAAATTAGCCATAAGATTGGATATGCTCCAAAAAATGTAATCATTACTGCAGCCAGCAACACAGGCGCTAAATAGGAACTCATTAATCATTCACTCCCACAGTTTGTTCTGTGTGTTTGCATGGGCACAAAGGCACCTGCAACGTACATACATGTTTGTTTGATGGAAAACAAATTGTTTTCCCCACACTGAACGCTACTTTAAATTTTTATCCTTTTTTTTTTTTTTTTTTTTTTTTTTTTTTTTTTTTTTTTTTTTAAATCAAGCCGTTTGTGTGGAAAGATGTGGCACTAAAATCAAAAGAAAATCTCCAGGATCCAATATCCACAGGTGATGCAAGCGTGTCTGAACGATGAATTGCTGATCATGGAGAGAAACGTGGTAGATTAAGGGAAATAAGCAAAGGAGATGTGAATTGAGTAACCCATTCTGGAACCAGACAGTGTTTTGATTGGCATCTTAATTTTTTCGATGACTCACTGTCAAGACTAAATGCAAGATTACTACATGATTTAAGCTGCCATTCACATGCATAGACTTATATTTTTTTCTACAAACTTCCAGAATCATACATACAAGAGGGTTGGTAATTTATTTAATGCACAGATGGTCTACTAGTAAGTAAACATACCTGTGCTGTGGTCACTGACAGCTGTTCAGTAGTGGGATGGATGAGATTCAGTCATTCAGAACGCAGAGTTTAGACTGAATTCAGCCCCAATATGAATTTCACTTGACAAAATGAAGTGAGAGAGAGATGAGAACTGACCAGGCACACAATACAAAGGTACAGCTGAGTTAAAAAAAAAAGTGTTTCTATTTAAAGGAGATGGAGTGAAGGCTTATATAAGAAAGATAAGTCAATATAAAACGGCAGAACAAAGGGGTGTAAAGTGGCATTTTTGGAGAAAAAGAGGGGAAGAGATAAATGAGGACTTGTGAGAAGGAGGATGTGATGGTATCAGTGACTCTTAGACATGTACTTCTCGTACCCAGCTCATTAATCCTGTATACGATTTCTCTGAGGGTGATTTATGAGCCATTATGAGAGGTGTGTGTGAATGTGGGTGAGAACAAAAGAGCTGATATTCATAGACGCACATACTTTTTTAGAGTAGGGTACAAATGCATCATGTGCATGAACGGATATAAGGTGGCCTGAGTGCATTCTGAGGTAACTAAGGTGGAATCATGTGTTTTTAAAGTTGAGACATTTCCTGCTCTTTCAGTGAGAACAGCTCTGAATAAAATGCTTGTGAGATTCTTGTGGGTGTGAGGAAAGAAGCAAGTGAGAAAGGGGTGTTTTAAATCTGTAACATGCAAAAAGTTGTTACCTGTGGGACGTTATTTGTACAACTCATGCTCTGAGAAAAGTTTATTTTAGTTAGACTTCTGAAAGTGTACAGACAATTTATTTTCCCTGACACCTGTTTAAGACTTTTGACAGTGTGCAGTAGCTTTGAATATTTACTCACCAGAGGACCAGGAACAGCACTTATGCAGGTTAATGACAGCTGAATTAGGCATAGCTCTCCTCCTTACCTACACTCAACTAACATTCGACACTGGGCCTCTGGATGTTCTTTTTAATAACCTGCCATTCTTCACCTTTTACCCCCTTGCTTTGCTTCCATCATTTTCCTCCCCTCGTCTGCTGGGAATGTTTGTCGACATTCCCTTCACTGCCTGTCTTGGCTGTCAGCTTGAGTCGAAGATGTGTCCGTTTTTAGCCGAGCCTGTCCTGTCTAAATAGATGTGGGTGGTGTCCTTCTGGCTGCCGAGGGATGATTGATTCTATTAAACATTCAACAGTGCTCTCTCAGTGCCATTCACACTGCTTACTAATTCATAGAGAAAGAAAAACTGCCTCAGAAGAGTCAGCAGTACTGTATCCCCTTGGCGTGAAAGTACCTTTGTTTATTTCTCTTTGTTGCTTATGTATCTTCACACACACACACACACACACACACACACACTGACCATAGGCGTTGTCCTTAAAGGCCCTATACACCCACACAGGTGTTTTTCCACTTATTCTGGTTGATGAGACCCTCTGCCCGGGTTTCTATGATGGGAATTATTTGAGGTCACTGGACTCTGTGCACTAATAAGAACGATACAGGTGTAATTTGTTGTGCCATACTATAACAGGTGCAACAAAGCTAACAGGAGAGTTAGTGAGATGTCAGGCGAGCACAGAGTGTACACGCCCACACAGTCCTGAAGGTAGACACTCACAGAGCGCACGGCTCCCATTCCTTTTCTAGCAGAGGTATCAATTCCCTCAGGAGAACCTCAGTAGCCAGTGGCGAGAGATGGGCAGGTGGTGCAGAGGGCAAAGTTCAGATAAAGGAATTGTTACCTGAAACAGGTGCAAAACCGTAGCATGTCATCACACCTGACACCAATCCAGGACTCCACCTAATGATTATTTTTATTGATATTATTGGGGAAAAGTCATTTTGGCCAGTTAGCATTACATGGCCTGAAATTCTGACTGCTATTTTGCCAAAATTGCCACCACAGCCCAGCACAATGCACAACCTTAAAAGGTAAAGTCAAAAGGTACCCTAATCATAAGAACAAACAAAAGAAAACCAAAAACCCACTTTTGTTTACTTTCAATTTTCTCACCAGAGCATATTGTGTGTAGCCTATTGAGCATGTGGCATTTCTGTATGCATTTCCATCTTATATTTGCAAAGCCTCCTGACCATCTTTGTGGCACAGGAGACTGATGGATTAAATCCATGGTTGATGGGCTTCTTTTGGCCCCTTTAAATAACTTAACATAAGTGCTTTTGTAAATTTTTCTGCCTCATTCAGGGCATCAACGTGATGTCTTTAAAAGCACAATTCATCCACCATCAGTCATTGCAATGGAATTGGCAATATGGGTCTTAATGCAAGTGCAGGCTTTCATTGACTAATGCCTAAAACAACTGCAGAGAGCCACTGTGCTTTTCAAGAGGCATCACCTGGGTATGCAGCACTTAATGAGTCACAGTGTCGCTTCCAACAAAATTAACCTTCCTTTCTGGGCTTTGTTTTACTTAATCTTCGTGAGAGGTATCAACTTTCTCTTCATAAAAACAAAAAAAGATCTCTCAGTTTTGATGCTGAGCCTCTATCATGTAGATGTATCTTGCTACTGATGCAGGTAAATGTTGTGGAGGTAAGCACTGACAGTTAAAAGGTTGTATGAAAGCTGTGAGATGTGGGAGTGAAAAGAGAGTTATTCATCCGTCATACAATATTATTCTTCTCTTTTCCCCTGCCATGCCAGGCTGTAAGTGCAGACTCGAGTGAAAAGCTTGGTGCATTTATCTACCTCAGGTCCTTGGCTATCTGTAACTCAGCTGACAAAAGCTCTCTGGGTTGGCCTTATGGGCTTGTGCGTCCCTCCTGTAGGGCCTAAAGGCCATTACTCAGCTCTAGACGGCACAAAAAGCAGTACATGTCGTGACTAGTGACTTACTAGTGGTCTTCAAAGCTTCTGGTGAAATGTTTGGTCAACTTTCTACATAAAAAATGTATTGCATTAAAATATAACGCAGTAACGCAGTGTTTTTCTTTCCCTATTATTCTACAACCAAAGCTCTCAATCAAGGGCCGGTGGGTCTGAACACAGGGAGGAGATTCCCATGGAGGGAGAGACACAAGAGAGGAGCTCGGATGAAGGACCTCTGCCCTCGCTGTGTCTGAAGCAGGTCTACCCCAAGTACACCAAACAGTTCAACCACCTGCGGCTGGTGGAGCGAATTGCAGTTCTGTTCATACGCTTCCTTGGGGTCAAGGGCAACATGCGTCTGGGCCCCACTGCCTTCCGAACCTTTATCAGGTACAGATTTTACTTATTTTACCGGACCCCCCATCCCCATTAGCTTCTGCCATAGCAGCTGCTAATCTTAATTAACCACATAAAACATTAATACAACCGAGAAAGCAAAGTCCAAAAGAAAAAATATATTCAGATATAAACAAAGCAGCTGATTTTAACACAAAGAGTGCACCACACAAGCAGACAAATCACAACAAAAGATTACAGCTACATTAAGCTCACAACCATCCACAAAATTCATGAAGACTAGGACGACATCAGATAGAAAGATTTTTATATTCAGTCATATAGTATAGTCTGCTTTCAGTACTGCATTTGTTTTTAAAGTAAAGTAAAATTTTTTGATTCTCTAGTACTGTTCAATAACTTCTACTTCTAAGTTCTACAGAGGCCTTGTGTATAACTTTTTCATCCACATACCAAATGGGATATGTATGTGTTTGACCAGAGGACTCTAATAGAGCTGAAAAAGATTGAGGTAAACCTAAGAATACAGCTTTCTGGCTTTAACTGGGAGCAAATTTTGTATTTAGTTAATTTAGTAGCTAAATCAAGTGCAATGCATCATTTCTCTTTGTGTGAGATTAATGTTTTTTGTTCATGTTTCCTGACAAAATAAATGTAACAAACTAAACAACAACTCTGCCATAAATTTTAGTTACAGTTTATAATGTTCAGTTTTTGTTTGAACTTGTTGGAAATGTGCGAATTCAATTCTATGATTATTATTGAGATCATAGTTAAAAGTTGCGTTAAACCTGTTTAGAAACCTCTCAGCATAAAGCAGTCTAGTACAACTCCACCACTAACTATGACCTCAGTGTGTAAATAAACATCTCTATGACAGTGTCAAGAAAAACTAAACATTATAGGTATCATAAAAGTAGACATTATGGCTGATGAGTCTACATAGTTGAAGAACTTGTCTCCATACAGCCAATCAAATCTTCGCATAAAGCAGTAATGTCAACGGTGTATCACAGACAGTGTAGACAGTGACACTGAGCCAGACAGCAGCTACACAACACAACAGCCAAAGACTTGGAACAACAACAACCCACATTAGCTTTCCTGCTAATCTTGTGCTGCACCTTAGCTTGCTGAATGAGCCACACAGTTCTCCTGATTGTTTTTAGGACGTGCAAACTGAGCAACAGTAACTTCACCATGGCTTCAGTGGACATCCTCTACATTGACATCACACGTCGTTGGTCAGGAACGATGCCTGATTCTAGAGAAGCAGGTAACACACCCACACCCACACACATATATATACATGCTAAAACAAAACCCTAACATTGAAACTACATGTAGAGGACAGCGAGCCGAGTATCCTTGAGACCAAGAGCAAATAATGTGCTTGAAGATAATTGCTTGTCATTCTTTGTCAGTTTCCGTCTGACATTGTGCTGCCATAATTGAAATGAGCCGAGATCACAATGTGACAGCGAAGAGACTATCAGACATGAATTATTCAGACATTGCACCTTGCGAGGAATGTTTGTGAGGCGGAGCGGATGGATGGAGATCACATGGACAGGATGGAAGGGCCTGTACAGACGAGATTGTGGGCTGCATTTACAATGAGCTCATATGTATTCAGGGAGACAGAAGTCAGTCTGTTTTTTCTGTGGATGTGCATTGGAGGATTTGGTGGGAATTAGGAAGAAGCATGAAACTGTAAAACTGTATTTACAAATTATTACATGTTTTTTTTTGTTTGGGATATGTCACAAAGTCTTTTTTTTTTTTTTTTTTTTTTTTTTTAAAAAGGACATCTGGAGGAATTTATGCAACTGTCCTTGTAATCTGTACAATCTTTTAATAATTCCACTGCAGATGACCTATAAACTTTCACCATGTTAGTCAAGTGTGAATCAGCTTCTCATTAATTTTTTTTTCACTCCATGAATTCCTCAGGTTTTCTGCACATTTGTCTTCTTGTCTAGGTGAGAATAACTGAGGCTGCAGTAGAAAATATTAAAATATTAAAGAAACCTTTGGGTTAAAATTCAGCTCCTGCTCCTGCTCAGCTCACGCTATTATTTTCTTCAGAATTTACTGTTTTCTAATTCATCCTTAAGTCACCCTAAGTCACTCTGACTTTGGCTCCTAAGGCAAAGTCTGACACTGATAAATTTGAAAAGATAAAATGATCACATTGGCATTTTTAACCCGTAAACCCATCAACAGTTCAAATAATGTTTGTTAAGATTAATATAAAGCAATATATTAATATTTGTTATTATACATCAAACAAACGAGTTAGTTGGGAATATCAATATCACTCTCATATCTGTCTGTTAAATGTGAGGCTTAGCTTAGCACAGCCACTGGAAAGAGGGAAACAACTGGCCTCTGAGCTAGCCTGGCTCTGTCCCAAAATAAGAAAATCCGTCTACCAGCACTTCACTCACTAACTAACGTGTGATATTTCATTTATTTAATCTGCACAAAAGACAGATTTATTTCTTCACTGGAAGCAGTACTTTCCTGGAGCCTCTGTCATTAGTTTCCTTTGCAACTTCCCACAAGCAAAATAAATTGTCTAGGACATAACCATTTGTTTTTTTTTTTTTAGACTTTGGTTTGTATGCAGATTAAACAAAGATTGTGTTAATCAGTGAGACAGAACCAGGCTAGCCGTTTCCCCTGTGTCCACTCTCTATGGTAAGCCAAGATAGTTCACGATAGCTTCATATTTAGTGTCAGTCATCAGACATTGTGTCAGTCTTCCCATATAATAGATTGGGAAATATGCTTATTTGCTTTCTGTCAAACTACTCCTTTAAACTGGGATGACTTCAGTTTGGATTGACATAATTCATCAATCGGCAGCAGTATGAAAATCCAGCAAACATTTAGTTTTGTCACTGAGTAATATGTTTGTTAGTTTTTGTGTAATTCCTATTTTTGTTGAGCATAATTTCTTAATTTGGCGTTAATTCTGTTTCTACCTTCCTCACCTTCTTGTCTTCACCTTAACCACTCTTTGTTTTTCAGGGATGGGAGTACAAGCATTTGTGGAAGCCTTTTTCTTCCTGGCAGGTCGCAGGTTCAAATCCCTGGTGCTGAGGGAGCAGGTAGTGTCACTGCTGGAGCTGTGTGAGGCTCAGCTTGAGTCCCAGTCGGGTGTCGAAGACAGACGCTCGGTGAGTTGTAGCAGGGCGCTGCCACGAGCCGTCAAGACTCAGACCCTGGGCCTCACCAACCCACAGCTCGGCTCTCCGGCTCCCCTGCGAAGGGCGGCCAGCCAGGACTACCGACTGCATCAAAGACTCAAGCCTCGCACACTCAGGGCCAACGTGGACAACTGACGAGAGAGGGCATCGACTAGTCATCCAACTCCCAAACACTGCCTTTAGCCTTCTCCACAGGAGCAGGGAAATTAGGTGTCCACCTCTGCTCAGCTGCTCCCACGAGGGTGGGATGACGGGAGCCGAGAGAAGGACTAGCTTGACCCCTGCTGGCTGACTTGCAGGAGGACTGTTCTCAGCCTGATTGCTTTTTCTTCAGAGCAGGAAGATGTCTGCAGGGGTTTTGCAGTGGAAATGGAACAAGGGATAGGAGGAAGTTGGTGCATTTCTTTCTCCCCTCCTGGTGTTATCATATATGAACAGTGTGGTCCAGCCAGGAGGAGGATATGGCTACTTCTAATATTCTTACTGATTCTACAGAGCAGCTATTTGCTTCCCTTCACCTTTGTCTGGCAGCACATTCACTGAAAGATACAGGGAAAACATTAGACGCTCCTCTTCAATAGATTTACACACATCACACGCAAGTAAATAAATAGGTGTAAGGGAGTATCCTTAGTATGTGTATTATATAATTGAATTTGCACAAAAAATCTTTGAACTATTACATTTGCACAGAAATGGATGTGAGGGTGACAGAGCATTTGTGTGGGTATATTGTGTATGTTTGAGTGTGTGTGTGTGTGTATGTACTGTACTGTACCATAGTTATTTGTGTTTAGTTCAGTGGTGAGAGCCTATTTACAACCAGTGGCTCAGCTGTGCGTCCATTAGTGATGAGTTAGTGAATAAGTATTCAAAGGGAAAAGGCCACTTATCCTTTCAGTTCTGCAGCTATTCCAGTCAGGCAGCCTCAGACCTTCACACAACATAGTCTTAAGATGATTTCTTTGTAGCCACACAACTGCCATGGGGAGTTAATTATTTCCAAAGTAATTGCAAAAGCACAAAAATTTCACAATTTAGACAGATGCTATCTGAATGATTAAAAAACAACGCTTTTGTAATAAAACCAGTGTGTGATGTGGCTGTCAGTTAGACACAGCCACTGGTGGATGCCAACCAGAGGTCGCCGTCTTTTCAAATTATTTACACCACAGTCACCCACTGAACATTAATGTTTGAATTGTAAGTAGTTTTCCTCCAGTTTGTTTTTGAGATTGTGAAATGTGATGTGTTACACAGAAGAACACTGAATCTTACCACTGACACACCTGCAGTGTGGGCAGCTGTTTAACTCATACAGTGAACTAAACATGCTATACATGCTGTAGGACTGACATATTTACTGCAGTATGATAACATGAAGTAGAATTATAAGATTATTAACAATTATCAATTATATGGATGAAATGTATTGAATGCAAAAAAATAAATTTAATTTTGCTCTTTAAAACTGAAGATGTTGTTGTTTATGCCACTACTGCTGTGATATTGACCAAACCAAAAAAAGACTTAACTCAGGTTCACGTACATTTTTTTAAACCAATTAAATCTTTCTCCACGGTCTTAGTTTTGATGATACTAATATGTTTGAGCAAATCACACATGCTTATATGTGCATGTTACTGAAAATATACTCAATGTACAGAACATCACTGCTGTCCTACCTCGGAGTGATTTCCCCTATGGGCCCATTAAAGGTCAACATTTGTCATATCATAAGGGGATGATATGTAATATAGTGGCAGCACTGTTGGCAGTTTGTGCTATTTACATTCTTCAACAAGGCTGATAGATGAGTCCGAAATAGCATCATTTTTTATACGTTTTAAGACCTTAGATATGTTTCACAGCACAACCATCTGCCAATGTTTGCTCGACCTTCTGTCGCAGAGGCTGGCAGTGCCAGTTAATGCTGTAGCTCCAGTGTCTTAAGTCATCTTAGTTGATGCCTGGGCAACATCTGTCAGACATCTGTCACCAGCCAAAAATATATACCTTACCTTTTATCTTCAATTGAAATTTTGTACCAGCTCTTACTAGAGAATATTAGTACTAATCCATCATTAAATTAAACTTATTGCACCTGTGAGAAAATACTGACAAGTGGTGGATGAAGTACTCAGATCCTGTCTCTAAAAAAGTAGTAAAACAATATAAAAATTACAACATTATAACACACACACACACACACATATATATATTATATTACGCAATTATTATTGAGTATGCATTAATGTGTAAGTAGTGTTTTAAAGCAAACTATTTAGCTACCTGTAAATGTAACATATGTAAAGAAGAGTCATACAGTCACAAACCTGACTCAGTAATGTCACTTGCACAACCATATCTATCTACAGTTTGCCAACATTAGCTAATGTTAGCCAACAAAAGCTACCAGTCACTTCAGAAAAAAATAAAGCTGTAGTTACAAACAGTGCGTAGTGAACAGACCAAGAGTAACGTAACATTTCGTTTGTAAGACGTTTTGCGTCTTCTTTCAAATGGCCATAATCTTACTTTATTGTTGTAATTGGTAAAGATGAAGCTAAGGTAATTTTAACATCTTTACATACTGCATTGCCAGGCAACTACAGAGTGACCTAAGCCCCAAAAGCCACTGTTGAATGTTTGTCAAGTGGTTTTATTTAATTTGAACAGCTGCAAATTTATTATTGAATTAGAACAACTACAATACAACATCTTTGTGCCCCTGACTCACACATGGACCTTGTGTCAGACTGTAGTTCTAAAATCTCAATTATATTAGTTATATTATGTATTATACAAGTATAATTTACGGTGCAAGTATTTAGTTGCATTCCACTACTGTTAGTCTATTAAGAGAGGTGTAATAATTTCAACCCGTGCTTACCATTTGTCCATGTACATGAACTCACCTACCTTTATACTTTTGCATCTTTTACACAATTCCCTTCCTTTTTTCTTTTTTTAACCACGTAGACTTTCTTAAGCCAAAGTAGGTTTGGGTCAGCTTTTAAGACATAATTTTATTTCTATAAAATTTTTTGTTACACACAGGATATATATCCAAAGCACACAACACTTATTTCTTTGGCCTTTCCATTTGAAGATGTATAGTGCTTTGTACCCTTTTCTATAGGTAGCACCCTGTGTCCGTAAACTTACTTCCATATTTCAGTTAGTTAAGCCTCCTTTTGTTTTTTGTTGTTCACAAGGTTACCATTATTTAAAAAGGAATCACAAACAATAATCTATATTCCCCAAAATTAGGTCAGGATTTATTATATTCAAAAGGGAAATAATGTCTTCTGTATTTCAACCTTTAACTAACCTTTTATGTCCCTTTAAACCTTGTTTTGTTTCTATACATCAACCGTTAATAAACCATTTTAAGTACCTTCATGTTACTATGGTATTTAACCTTAAATTTACTTTTAAACTCACAGCACTCACCCATACACACACACACACAAGCCGGCAACAAAATGAAAGAAAATTTAACCAATTAACCCCAGGTTGCAGGCCTGATCGATGCTCGGGTACATGGTGGCCAAATGATAAAGAAGTAGCTTCACTCTATAAGTACAGCAGATACGCTTGTATATGGAAAGCATTGTGCATTCTATGACTAAAGCATGAAACTTTATCAATTGTTTCTATAAGCCATGGTGTTTATTTTCAGACGTGGAGGCATTTCAGATTTGACCTCTGGGACAGGGCATAGCCCCCTGGAGTGATGAGTGTGGACCAAACTAGCATGCATGTCTGATTAGAATGTTTGCTAATGTGCTAGCTAGTCATATATTCCATAGAACACACAGCAGAGGATGTCAATGTTTTCAACAAGCTATTATACTTTTTATACTATAACTAACCGAGTAAATATAACAGTTCAGTACTCACAATTGCTTCAGGTAAGTCACACAATCCCACTGTTGGATCTCCACGTTGGTGGAGTGAGCAGGCAGGTTGATGGCGAGCTGATGGCAGGCTGATGGCTGACCGTGGCGGGCTGACAGGGGAGTCCTCTCTCCGTCCTACGTCGTCGTTAAAGAAGCTACCAGGCTTCACTTGGCTACCTGGAGCGCTGGCTGTTGACACCGACTGGCTCTAGTGATCCAAACAAACTTCCAGACCCTAGCCGAGTCACTCTCAGTCTGTATGTGCAGTTCAGAATATCCCCCGTGGCAACTAACTTAGCTAGTTAGCTGGAAAGGCTAATAATAACACAATATCAGCTCCCGCGTCTGTGACTGAACTTCTCACAGTACACATACAAATGTTCACTGGTTAGCAGTCTTATGTTCTAATTTATACAGTGCACTAAGTGGCAAACCACACTTTAAACCTGTTTTACAACAGTTCTCAGTCTTTTCTCCCTCACTCAACCCACCAAACACTGAGCGTGGCCATCCAGCTGCTCGCTCTTTTTTTTTTTGATCTACCCCCGCACCTCGTCAGGTGCCGCCCCCCAGCCAATCACAATGCAGGAAAAATGACATGACAATCAACCAATCACATATGGTAAAATCCAACAATACAGGTTGTACTGTTAACACCACCTTCTCACTATGTAGAATGCAAACAACGTAAGCCTATTTAAAGTGGTCGAAGTGTTTATATAGAGCAGAACATGTTGATACTGGCCACAACATATCTATTCTGAGTAGGAAAAGAAAATTAGCTACTAGCAACTAGAGTTTGACAAAAATATTAAGATTGGACTGCAGTTAAAGTATGTACTCCTTGGCTGTTGCTCTGCACTTGGCAGTAAATCACCCTGCCATCAACAAGTGGTTTAATATGTGGCTGTGTTTTCTTGCCTTTGATACTTTTGAGCCATGGGTGGGAGAGTACTGGGGAGTGGTAAGACTAGTAGCTTGTTTTATTAGCCTAATGTCCTAAATGCATGTCTTTGCCCCAGGGAGCCTGTTCCACTTGGCCAAAGAAATAAGTGAGCCTCACGGGGAGCAATTAACAGCACAGGAACTTTCCTTTTAAAATATACATGCTGCTAACAGGACCTGCTGTTAATGAGGTCCACTTTCCCTATTCGATCATTCTGTACAAGAATACTGCATTTCTCTTGCTTTTGAGCATCTGCTCAATTTATAACTACAGCTATTTGAGAGAGACATTTCACTACAAGATCTCCTCCATTTTTGTTGTTAAGGCCATTCTAGGCTTTCTCCTACCCACTGTGGGGAATAACAATCAGGCAGTATGTAGGTCAGGCTTGCTGAGAAGTAGGCACTGCTCAAACCAATCTTTTACATCCCTCCATCATACCCTCCGCTCTGCCTTTGCACCCCAAGTCGGAGCATATGTTCTCTCTAGCTGCTTGTCATCTATCTAGGCCTGCTTGAGTATTTAATGAACATATGATTCATCTCACATGCGCTGAAATTAAGCTTCATTTACATTTCATAATAACAAAGCGTCAGAGAAAAATGCAAGCAAGGCGATCAGACACAGACACAATGGGACGAGATTTTAAAATAGCTAAATAAAACTTTAATAGGTCTAGTTGCGAATGTACATAAATTGCACAGCCACATTTTGTCAACACAATTTCCTCTGTACATTATTGTTTTGTCACTGTCGTCAAAGGAAGCAGAATCCAGCAAATACTTTATACTTTCAACATACTTACAAAAGTATTTTCTACAAGATAATAGAAAACATACAACATCTTTTACTTTATTTATAGCTTTATGTTTTGATTGATCTTTTGTCGGACTGGCTGAACTGTGTGAAGTGTGAGCTCATGGTTTTCTGACTCATAAAACAGAACTGATTTGGGAATGTGGATGGGGTAGAAGAAGAAAGTAGAAACCAAACAAAAGAATGCGTCTTCTACTTTGTCCAGATGTATTGATGTAGCATACATGATTTTCATTATGGTACGCTGCAGTTTAAAGCAAGACTATGTAACTTTTTCTGAACCACGACCACTGCTAAACTCTAAGCTCCTGCCATACTAAACCATGGTACTGTTTTAGCTAAATGCTAAACCATAGTTTACTGTTTAGCTGAACAATAGTTTGCATTTAGATATACATACTAGTTATTAGTTATTGTAACAGTAATTATGCGTTATACAGTATCTAAAATTTGCTAACATTTGCTAATCAAATTTGACAATCAAAAGCTACTTGTCATAATTGACCAAGTAAGGCCGTAACATCCAACTGTTTAGCTAGCAAAAATACTAAACTATTGTTAAACATTTCTGTTAGCTAAACAATAATTGAACTATAGTTTAATTCTAAATTGTACACAATAGTTTAGCATTTAGCTGTAATGCTAAACTACTGTAACAGAAGTGCGGGCGGAGAGTCAACAGAATAGTAATGTGCCATACTCGTCATAACAAAGTCAAGCTGTAATGTTGGCACCAAAACTTCCAACTGT